TGAGTGACAAGAGGACGTGTTATCCTGATGTTGTAGAGCGTGTATCTACAGGATCGTGTTGTTGCAGTGATGTAGGGAATCAGGGAGAGTCGGCTGTTGAGTGTTGTGGAATGTTTCAATAAACTAGTTCGGGAGAAGAGAATGCTTTTATTAGATAAACATTGAAAGAATTTAGAGTCTTGATGAATGATCAAAGTTGCAAAATGTCCATTTATTGCTTCCAAGCAGGTGGTCAAATACACCAGCATGTATCACAGTGCTCTGTAGAGATGGCGTCTCCAAGCAGTAAAAACAATGAGTTTTTATACACATAGGAAGGCCATCCTCAGTGGCAGGTACGAGAAGTTGCAAACCAAGTTGAGATAAGAACCAAGGTTAAGATGAGGGTAGCACACACAGTTCCATTGTTAGAAACATAATAAAATAAAAATGTCGAAACAAGTTCCCGCTGGCCTCCTGAGGGGGTTCCATGGGCGTTGTCGCGCCATGATGAGAAAACCACTCAGGTAGCTGACTACAGGATCACAAAAAGATACTTAGATAAAATGAAACTGAAGCAATCAATCATATGAATAAAACCGTGGAGACACAAACGACTACTGTGTCTACGTGGAGTGGTCCTGGCCGCGTTCCTCTTCTCGCGTTGGTCCGTGGGTACACGTTGGGAGTCTGCCAACCTTCTTTCTTGTGAGGCATCCGCGTTGTAGACAGTCCACACAGATCACAATGCACTGTGCATCTGTCGGTCGACTGCTTGTTTGTGAACCCGTCCGTGGTCACTGCAACGGTGGGGTTGGTTGATTGACACTGGTTGTGAGGGTAAGCTCGCCTGAGCCTACTATCATTGGATCTGGAACCTTCTAACAATGGGACGCGTGGACCCAAGTTGCCCTCTCAGCTACTTTGACAGCAGTTTGTGTGACAAGGAGGACCTGGAATTGTCCTGCCAGCGTCCTGCTTTCCAGTTCTTTCTCCTGAAGTCTTTCACCACCACAAAGTCACCAGGTTTCAGTTTGTGGAGTGGTCCTTCAGCTGGTTTTGGGAGGGCGGCTGCAACCTGTTGTCGTATGTTAGACAGAGCAGAAGAGAGTTGTGCACAATATTTAAACATTTCATGTTCAGATAATGCGGTTGAAGGGAGCGGTGTCGTCGGTGCCTCGGTTCCTACGTGAGGAGGAAAACCAAATTATATCTCGAAGGGACTCAGGTTGCTTTGTGCTCGTTTTCTCATGCGCATGTACATCAGCACTAGAGGCTTTTGTCCAGGGCAGACCTGTGTCTGCACAGCATTTTGCCAACTTGGTTTTAAGTGTGCCATTCTCTCGTTCAACAGTCCCTCCGCTGACTGGATGTAAGCGCAATGTGTTTTTAAATCAATACCCAGGTATGCGCTGTTCTGTAATGGCCTGGTTGACAAAATGAGAACCATTGTCACTTGATATTTTAGCCGGAATGCCCCATCGAGGGATGATTTCAGAAATTAGGGTCTTGTTGCAGCGGTTTGTTTACTTAATGGAAAAACCTCCACCCACTTGGAAAACATGTCCACCATCACTAGACAGTGTTTCTTACCATCCGATGGAGACAACTCCACAAAATCCATCATAATGTGCTCAAATGGGCGGGTCGGTGGTCGGTGTGCAGCCTGGCTGGACACGCCCACGGGCCTGCCTAGATTGTGAGTAGAACAGGTGACACATGCAGAACAAACGTTTTGTGCACATGCTGTGAACCCTTTTGTAAACCATGTTTCATTAAGTGCGCGTAACATTCCCCCTTTTGACACATGGTCTAACCCATGAGTCAACTTGAGCATAATGAGCAAAATAGTGTTTAGGTAAACACGGCTTGCCGTCGGGTCCAGTCCAGATACCGTTGGTGTAAACACAGCCGGATCTGGACCAAAGCCGTCTTTCATCAGGGGTAGAGAGTGACTGCATCGCTGTAAGAGAGGAGGGAACTGACTCCTCAGAGCACACGAGAGCACAGGTAGTGGGAAGCGGAAGCAGAGCAGCAGCTTTTGTTATGTTTATTATGTTATTTTGTTGTGCGCTGAAAGATTTTTCCCGTGGATTAGGTTTGATAACGTTGTTCCATTTGTGAGTAGTTTGGAAGAAAAGGACCAAAAAGGACATCCTCTGTTTTTTGGTGTTTGGTTTTGGTATTGATATGATCAAGGCAATTCTTTTTGGGGAGAGGGTTTTCCCTTCACCGAAAATGTCATGACCCAGGAAACGCACATTTAGAGACACAAATTGTAATTTAGAAAGGCTCCTTTGCTAAGTGCTGGAGTAGTTTAATCGTGTCTGTCTGACACTGCATTTGAGTAGGCGCTGCAATTAAACAGTCGGAAATATTGGTGTCCTGACCGGTGAGTCTGGACATGGAACTATCACCCCTGCTTCTAGGAGCAAATTGAATACAGGTATAATACGTCAATGGCCTCTTGTCGCAGTCTACTAAAATTGTAAATTCTTTCCCTTCCACAATTACTCTTGTAGTTGGCATGTCTTTGTATGAATCTGATGTAAACATAGCATACGTGAGTGGCAGTGTTCTGGGTGTATTCTGTTGCTGTGGCTCTAAATGAGAAATAATGTCGAGCAAGGCAGCATGTTGTCGGTCTTCATTGCAGCATTGTGCCTGTGTGAGATGTGTGTGTGTATGGCCGTGCGTGCATGCAGTTAGTGCAGAAAGCGTTTCTTCATTGCAGGCTGCGGTGTGTGTGTGTGTGTGTGTGTGTTTCACTTCCCTGCTTTGGAGAGGAAGCAGTCGGCCCTCCATCACACATGCGCTCTCCCTCCCCCACGCACTTCATGCCAAATTGTTGATCACCTCTGTCAGCAGCGGAGTAGCGCTGTCGTTCAGGTGGTTGACATGCCTGGTTGGAACGGTAGGGACACTCTTTGAACCAATGTCCTGTTTCGCCACAGTTAAAGCATTCATCGCGTTGCGCCTCTCGTGGGGGCCCATCCCTGGGAAACGCCTTCTCCTCCGACGATTCAATCCCCAGCCTCGTCCTCTCTGTTAACCCCTGCCGTAAATATGACGAAGTGGGTGGGGGTTTGGGCCTTCTTCCACACCCAAAGTCATGCTGCCGGTTGGATATCAGTCACTGTCGGTGGGCATCGTGGTGTCGCGTTCCGACACCACGACACCCATCCGGTCCCGGGACCTGAATCATGGGGGCCTGGATGAGGGCGCCGTCAGAATTACCATCCCTACTGTCCATATCAGACCATTGGCCGGCCAGGGGCTTTGGGGTAGATAGGGCTATGGGGTAATGCGAGAAGGGGTTGGTCGGAGACATTGGTGTTGCTGGACCGCCCTGGTTCTGGAGTCTGTTGACGCTGCGGGTCTGGTATGGAGGTGGTGGTTGACAAAGTCTCCAAGAAGAATGGTGGATGGTGGAGGAGGACTAAGGGGTTCGAGGAGGTTGGAGACTAAATGTGCGTTTTTGTCTAAAGACTAAAACTAAATCAAAAATAGCTGCCAAAATTAACACTGGAGCAAAGACGAAGATCAGCCAAAGGAACAGTCGGTGAGTGGCACAACGGTCTCTACTTGTAGTCACACAGAGGCTGGATGCATCCTTTCAATCCTACCTGTCAATGTGTATGAAGGGAAACCGAATTATACATACATACATGTATTCCTGGATCCAGAAGTACTGACACTTTCTGTTCTGAAAGTCTAATGGAAAGACTTTTTGAACAGCAGTTTTTATTTTCTATATTCAGGATGTTCAGGGACCAAAACCCTCGAAGCTCCACAAACAGGGAAGTTCACTGATACAACAACAAACATCTTGTAATTAGGGATCCATTGTAGTTTGTCCATCCCAGGAGTGGGATTCTCCTTTGACGTTCTCCCTCAGGTTTCTTCCTTTTTTTCCGTCATGGAAGGTTTTCTTTCATGTGCCGACGTGAGGGTTTCGGGTCGGAGGATGTCGTATGTGTACAGACTGTAAAGCCCTCTGAGGCAAATTTGTAATTTGCGATTTTGGGCTCTACAAAATAAAATGAATTGAATTGAATTATATTTTTGACCCAGCAGATTTTGTCACTTTTTTCTGTTAACCCATAATGAAGTCATAAAAAAACCAAACTTCATGAATGTTTTTGTGACAAAGAAGTATCTGGTCCAATCACTCTATCAGTGAAAAATCTGAGTTAAAGAAATAATTGGAAACTCGAGAGCCATGACATGATGTTCTTTACAAGTTTATGGGAACTTTTGACCACAGCTATAGACTATGAATAAATGAACAAATACATGTAGCTGTAAAATGTTGGCCTATAATATAATGTGTGGTTGCTGTATTTGAGTCAACTTATGACCTAAATTTCCACCAAATGTGATTAAGGAATTCAATGACTGGGATGATACCTGTTGGTGTGTAGCTGATTACAAGCGAGGTGTAAAAAATCCTTTCCAGTGTAAGTACAATGAGAAGATAACAATATAAAAAACAGCAAACCTGCATTTAAAATGATATTGTTATGGAGATATTCTGACAAATGGAACTGAAATCAAATGCGTCTTCCATTTGATAAATGGAACACAACTTAAATAAATAGACATTAATTCATCGTATTACCGGGTCAAAGACAGGCGTTGGTGTACTGAACGAATGCGCCGTGGAATCCAAAAGATGATCGGAGCAGTTCAACACGCTGCAGCACTGCAGTTTCGGCACGTGTATATTGTCTCAATGATAACCTTCTGTGGTTACTTCTCGCTATTCACTGCGTGAAATGATTCGTCCCTGATTGACAGACAGGCGATCTGTGGTTACGTGGACGCCACTGGCTCTGACTCGCTCTGTCTCTGTGCGTCTCCGCCAGCCTGTTGTGCTTTATTACTGTGAAGCTGGTGGGCTTCTTCCTTCCTTTGTTTGCGGCCCACAAGCTGGGTGTTACACTGCAAATTCATTCAGCAAAAAAAGTCAACTTGGATTTGTGAAGTATTGGAAGATTATGTAGCTATCTGACATCAAAAAAAGAGCAAATATGTATTTATTTGTTTGTTTCATGAATGCATGCATCGATACATTTTACAAAATGTTAATATGAAGAATAACGCAAAACAAGGGTTAATGGGTCAAATGGTTAACGGGTGTTTGAAAGTAAGCTGCAGAGCGATTGGACGAGGACGAACATCAGGAGGACGAGCGTCAGGAGGACGAGCACTAGCCCTCTATGACATTTTGCTTCTTGAAGGCTTCCTGAGCCCAGTTCACATAGTGGCCCACGCAGATCTTCCTCCTTTTGGCAGTTGTGACCCTGCAAAAAAACAAAGAAATCCATGGAAACGGTCATACTCTCTTCCTTGAAATGTGATCATTATTCACTGCTGTGGTGAGTAACAGAAACCAATGTCCAACATACACAAATGCCTTTGCACCACAGCTGCTGTGGGTCTCCATGACGGACACAATTTGTTTGGACGGCACCCTTCCTGTAAAGAATTCAAAGCAGCACGACACAGGTGACATTTGTTTTACTCCCTGGGCTGGAAAGACAAGAGAAAACCAGGATTGGTGTCAGAACACATGGAGACACATTTAATCAGGCTGCAACTACATCCATATTTATTACTTTTAATATCACTGGGTAGACATCTAGGAATGTAAGTTACAACTATATACTATTCAAAAATAAGTTTGTATGTTTTTTATGTAATCGTCTGTTTAGGGAACGCTCTAAATTGCGTACTTTGACTTCACCTACAGTTAGAAAATTCAGTAACCCAAATGTATCTCAAAGAACTTGTTTAAGTCGTGATGGAAAAATAACTGTTTTTCTAAATAACGTTTCTCAGATTCATACAAAAACAAACACATTTCTACTAGTAAATTAGCTAAACATTTAAGCCATTTATCATATACACTAAATCTCGCTGTGGCGACATACCACTGAGAACATGGCCACTCAGAGTTTGGGGGTTTTACCTATTTGGGTTATTATTATTATTTTCCCTTATGTATATTAAATAAAAAAGACGCAGCATATCTAAATAGTATTTTGATTTGATTTTGATTTGAAGATTTTTGATTTGAAGAATTTTATTTCTTGAATATGTAGACACCAAATAATAAAAAATTAAAAAATCAACATAGACGTAGACCACAAAATGAGAAAATACACCTTTTGTTCAAGGGGGGGGGGGGGGTTACCTATTTGGGTTATTATTATTATTTCCCCTTATGTATATTAAATAAAAAAGACGCAGCATATCTAAATAGTATTTATTTAATGTAATCTAATTAAATGTGATATATCTAATATTATATTGGGTGAATTTTTATATATATATATATATATATAATATAAACTTTGACTTTAATAACTTTTTACTTGAAAGTGACATTAAAAGCAACGGATTTAGAATACAAATATATGACATCATTAATAAATAACAATGTAAATTGTTATTAAAATTACTGTTAACAGGATTAAAACCATTGGATAATTATCAACACTAAAATGCATTAATCAAATGATTCATCACCATGGGAAACAAAAACAGAGTCAGGACTCACGCATGGCGATGCAGCAGTAGATGGAGACGGACAGCAGGAGTCCCACGGTGCAGCTCAGAGTCCTCATGGTGTCCTCGGGTACAAGTGATGATGCTCTTCTGTCAGCGTGTCCGTCCAGTCATCTGCTGAGTCGATCTCACTGACAGCGGCTCTTATCTCTTCATGAGTGGGTGTCTTTACAATTTTGGGTGACAGGAAGTCGCCCAAAGCTTCATCAAACAGCCACCAACACTTCATCGGCTGCTCTAATTGATCGGTTGCATTTTAAGTCACTTTCATTTCATTGTCAACGAGAGAAGCGAGCTGATACTATCAACACAGATGAGAAACAAATGGGATCTTGTCATTCTAAAAGGCATCACTGCTCATCAAGCAAAGTGCTGGTCGGGTTGACTGACAGATTGTGAAAGAACTTTGTACAGAGAACAATAAAAATGGTATAAAATTGTTAGAAAGCTGAGCAGATGATTGATCAGTGAGAGAGAAAATGTTAAAGGGAATTAAGGGTTAGAAGTTAAAACAAGTAAAAAAGGGGAAGCATCATTCATGCCGGGAGTTACAAATTTGTAAAAGGGGGGTGGGCACCCCTCACTTTAAAAGACTGTTATAAAATAAGAGGTAATAGATTTCAAATGCATAGAACACTGATCAACAGAAATGGGATGCTGTAAAGATATACAGCATC